CCTACAAATAATGTCATCATACGTTTTACATGTAATGATTTTTAGCCAGTTTATTCCTTGCAAATGAGCATAATTATATTAAATTTGCCAAAAATGTATTTATTTTAGATCTCTTCTTGTTATCTTTTCATTTTATACACTTGGACAAGTAAATCCTTACTAAGCAACCCCTTATAACTCATTTCAGCTGTTCAGGTTTGGTATAAAACTTATGTTTCTCTGCAATCATATAAAAAGCTCAATGTAGTGAAATGGAACACCAGTGAGAATTTCATTATTTTAAGAATGATTTTTTCATCATCTAATCTACTCTAGAAGATTTCAACACGAAAACAAACAATTCATAGACCAGTTTTATTATACTAACTTCTTTCCTGCTCTATTTATAAGTTGCCTCCACTGTGGTAAACACATACATGTATTTGTTAATGCTAAGGGTTACTAAATCAGGGTGTACTATTCCAGAGAGCTACACTGTTTTTAATTATGTTCAGCACTGCTCTTCCAAAATCCTTGAAAGACCTTTTTCCTATCAAGCATATATCAGTGCCTTGAGATTATCTTATTGTTTTTAATCAAGTCTGTAATTAATACAAACTAAGACAGTTTGCGCTGCAATACTCCCTTGTAACAAATAAACAAACTTCATGTATATATGTACATTTAGACTTTTAAACCCAGTTGCACATTAAAGTTTGCTCAGAAAGTTTACACCACAGCTAGAAGCCTGTATTGAACAAAGTGATGTGTGATACACTGGTGAGAACACTAAGGTAAATCCATCCATAATTCATACCATCAAGCACAGAAAAACAAGAATTGACTGAATGCTACAAACAACCCTATGGGAGTTGATAATAGCAACAAAGGAGTGACTTTGATGGTGTGAAATGGCCTATTGTGTGCTGAATCTGTACAATATCCCGGTCCTCAGATAGGATAAGAAAAGATTCAGACTTCATCCTTTGATTCAAGACAGTTGGATATTTCAAGGACATCTGCCAGATGGCAGGAGCTTCAGACCTCTCTTTTTCCACAGGATTAAATGCAGCAAAATGAAGAAGCCTTACCAACTGCTCTCAAGAAGGCAACAAGATACCAAATACAGTGTAGTGCTCCACCTTTCTGTCTGACGTACCTCTCTCTGAGATTAGCCATGTGACTGAATAGCAGAGATTACATAGAGCAGATAATTCTTTGCTATTTTTCATCTCTTGTGAATCTGAATAGAAAACATTCTTATATGTAGATTACTTTTAGTTATTAATAATTTGCATAATTTTTAGCCACCAAGCTTTCTCCTTGTCTCATGAAGAAAAGGGTATTGTTATATGTGCTGTACATTAGGACACTCCCCAGAGCCCATAAACACACACATACACACACACATTTTTGCAGAGATGGCTCAAAAGCTAAAGACGACTTTCTCTTCTAGATATAACTCATTCCCAAGAAATGAGACTAGCAGCCATATTTTTGTAAACATGGATGCATCTTTGAAATGTTCTAACCACACTTTATGCAGTCTCATACTCTGTGCCAAAGGATAATTTAGTAAAGAGAATAAATGAGTCATGTTGCAAAAACCAGATGTTTATTAAAATCCACTCTTCCTAAACTTTTTTTTTTAAATTCTGTATTTCAACTGCTTTCTAAACTGCCACTCCTGAGGAAACCTAAATTTCCATCAAGAAAAAGGATTTTGCTCACGTCAGACATTTTTGGTTACTTCCTGTTTATTGGAGTTTAACTGCTTGGTTGTGGGAACCAGGGTTTGACACATTCAACTCATCAAACACTGACCAGCTGCAGCTCCAACACATACCAAGAAGTTACATTAGGAAGCCTTCCGTAGCCTTTTAAATGCATACCTAAAACCACCAGCCCTCAGGGCAATTCTCTAACCTTCATTTATCCAAGAGACCTAACCCCTCATACTGGAAATACCTACTGACAAAGTCAGCGAGCCTTGGCAGAGAAAGCATTCTTCTTCGTAACTGTTGCCATATACTGTGACAGTCGAGAAGAGTTCTTTAGACACGTGAAAGCAAATAAACTAAATTAATCTTTGCCCATTTTTCACATCCCTCCACTTAGTGTAATTCTTAGGTAATCTGGAAGACAGCGCTATAGTGTACTGCAATTTATAAATGTCTGTAAGCAGCATGTTGCCACGCTCCACTGATAACGCTGTTTGTGGCATATACTCACAGATTCTTTAGAAAAAAAAAATCAGTTAGGAATAATATGATTTAACATTAAAGTTCTCCTAGAAATGTTTAAGGAACAAACGACTAGAAGCGTGTGCGTTAAGATCACACTGCTAAGAATGGCAATGGGTTGGCATTTGTAAGACTGAGATTCTTCCTCAGGCACATTAACAAACATTTTCTTAAAGATGGCTGATGTGTCTCCTACCAGTTCACTTTCTTCCTCCTCTGCTGTATCCTTCTTGACTTCTTCTTTCTGGTCTTCAATATTTGCATCAAAATCCTCCATCTCCACCTGTTCCAAAGCACAAGCACAGACTTACAAGGCACTGCTTGACTTCTAAGTATTATCTTTTTGGCAGAGTAAGTAGAAGATTCCAAGTTCAAACAGAAGAGGAAAGAAAGGATTAGTCTTGGGAAGCATGATGATGCAATATATATTAATACTGGCTCCATTTTGGCTTCTCTCAGAAGCAGGTTCTCTTCTAGCTACAGAGTGAACAAACTGTGTGAAAAAGTAGCAATCGTCTATTCTCTTCCTTCACATGCGCTCTTTGTGCTACCAGTATCTGTAACAGTAAGATACTTCTCTTGCTTCCCACACAATCACATTTCAAAACTTGAAATCTCAGAAAAAGATCTTAAACTTGCCATTTACACACCAGTGGAATGGCATGCTCTGCATAGAACATCTCTATCAAGCCTTTATCTTTTATGTATTTAAATATCACAGTGAAGAATAATAACCACAGAGATTAACATAATAAAGAAAACGGATGCTTTAAGACATACATTTAACTCAGCCCATCTAATGGAATACTTTGTGGGGCACATCTCTAATGGTGATTCATATGTATACTGTGGAATACCTAAAACTCTCCCATTAGGTATAGTCCTTCATACCATTACTAAAACCTTGATGCACAGAGAGTAAATCCCAAATGTGTTCTTCTCTGAGTCTACTTGAGAGCTGAGCTTTTTGCTGTCCTCTTAAATATTACTATTTTCTGATACAAAGACTTTGGAGATTCAAAAATAACAAACTGCCAAGAGTACATTCTCTTCCTACTTCAGGAGTTCACCAGTTTCTATGGCCATAGCAAGAGCTGTTCTGACAGCAACGTGCAGCTATGGTACATTCACAATGACCATACGATTAACACCCTAATTTATCCCCAGAGCTCCTGAAACATCTGCCAAAGAAGAAGGTAACAATAAGAAAGCTGACACACCAAAGACACATATCATGGCAAATTGCAAATGGAATAAAAAGGTAGTATACTTCTACAGCAAATCTAATCTTCTGCTACATGTTATTTATTTATTTCTTCATTCTCTGCTATAGGTCAGTATTTCTCAAAGTAGGGACTGGAGGGGGTGTGTTCAAATTTGTTTATTTACTTATTTATCAAACTATTTCTTCAAATCATGATTCAATTAATCCAGTAACCTGAAGAAGTGTTGAGTTTCATATGAGAGAGCAGAGACCCTCTTTAACTGGTACTCAACAGTTGCTAAAGAGCAAAGTTGCTTCAACTCTTCCTCAAAGATGCATAAGTCTAGGCTCCAAAAAGTTGATAAAAAGTAACGTACCTTGATGTTTGGGTAATTGATAAGAATAACAGAATACACTTGTCTGACACAGCAATGCTGGCTGTCTGCTGTGCCAAGTATAACTGTCCAGTTGTGATCATACCTTCCTCTGCTTTGTATTTTCAGTATAGTCACATCTACATAATTTGTAATTTTAACAAGCACAGAGATTCTCACCTCTTCAATAGCAGCATCCTGCAATAGAGAACGGATGTCCAGGCGCATCATGTGACGTGGTGCTGCCTCCCAGTGATCAGACATCTAACAAAAAAACAAACGAGTGAAACACCTCTAAAAATGTAACAGATTTGATGGAAAATTGGGTTTCTGATCATGAACAAGATGTATCTGTACTTAAGAAAACTAATCTCAATCAATCCCATGAAATAACTACCAACTCTTCTTAGAGGAAAAGTGTAAGCATTATGTAGTCTAAAAGAGGTCAGCACGCCTGAAAGCACAATCAAACCTATGATTAATCCTATGACTCCAGATGTATACAGTTACCCTGCTGATTTCCTTTAGCTTGCGTCCATGAATATTCCTCTTGGAACACGTCTGGTTATCTGCACTCATTTCAGCTAAGTACACCTAGAAAGAAAAAGACAATATTAAATATTGTAAATCCATTTTTAGAGCTCTTTTTCTACCTGGTGATACACTCTGCAGTTGTACATTCTAAGAAAGGTAAATTTTTAACTGTAGACCACAGCATTTTTCCTGAAGGCAGGAGGGACTTTGCATTCAAAAGTTTTGAAATACCAGCATATGGGTGCTAGCAAGTTCAAATGCTTTTTAGGCTCCATTACCTCAAAACCCTTGGTTTTTGCAGCACTCCAAAACTGTTCAAAATGTCGCACTCTATCATTGATAGCATCAAGGATAATGAAGGGGAAGAAGCCATCATCCAAGGTCTTTTTGAAAGTTTTAAACATGCTGGTACGATAGGTCTCTTCCATATCAGCTTCATATTCATACTCCATCACCTTTATCAAGGACAAAAGCATTTAAGAAAGAGGACACCTATTAAATTGCTAATGTTCAACTGCTGAATGTCATGACCACAAAGTACACTGGTATGAGAAAAACATATTCCAGGTCAACTTTTAAGAATGTGCCCATTCTGCCCTTAAGTTATATTGACTTTTATTGAAAAACAGCAGTCTTCCAAAAGCACAGACTGAAATTCTGATTGCCACTGTGTTGTTCCAGAATGTCTTGTTTCTTTGTCAAGATAAGCAATTGAATTAGAAGTACCTTCTTTTTCACTTTTTTCCCTGTATCTGGGTCTCTTTCTTCTTTTTCCACTTCAGTGATAAAATAGTCATCCAGGCTGAGCACTCTTGGTGCAGGTCCTCCACACTCTACTTCCTTATCCTGGGAGGAAAGCAAAAAGAAAATATATACTCCTCCTGTAAAAATTCCATTCTGCTACAGAGGATCTTTGAAACACTTTTAGCAAGCAGCAGTTTTCTGCCCTATATTCAAAACGAGAGAGTAGTATCCCTCATGCTTGCTAATAGTGGAGCGGATTCACATGCCGTATGAAGACATGGAACATGAAATAACAACAGGCTGAAGTTCCAGACACACAGAAAGAAAACAGCAGAGGAAGCGCACGTAAAAGACAAGCAGCACTACACAGTGAGCGGTTGTTTACATACCCTGATGAGTTTTGCTACATGTGTCTTTCCACTGCCAGGCAACCCTCTCATTATGATTACAATCTGAAACAAAGATGATGTAAGAAGACAGGATACTATGCTACATTTAACAGAATCTCTTTTGCAAAAATTTTCTTCTAGAAAATTACGTGCTCTCGGCTCACACTTTTGCATATCATCAAGCAAAGCCAGTACTATGCCTACTGTCTATTTTACAAACCAGGTTGTGAGGAATGGTAGTAGTTCCACAGAGTAAGACTATATGATGTTAAACATCTCAGCAGCCCATACTGCATAAGATGTTATAGACCTGGTTCAGACAACATTAACTGGAACACTTGTCTACATCTTTTATAGCTTGAGTGTTGTTCGTTCTTATTTTATATAACGCATTGCTAATTCTCTGACTCTGTGTAAAGCTGAGGCTTTCCTCTGATAGATCAAAAAACCCAAGTGAAGATCTCAGAAGTGTCTAAAATACATGACATTACCCACTAACAGGAATTTCATCTTGGCATTCCCAGGAATTTTACATCGCCTGTGGACTCCTAATGCTACAACACTCTAGGCATTTGCAAAGGAACCAAGAGAATTTCCAGGGCTTCCTCAAATGTAGGCTTGTTCTCAACATATTACACTCGTAAGCGTTTTACCTGAATACAGACCTCGTAGAAACTGACTGTTGCTATCAGAACACATACTCACCCTCTCTGGCCTGCTATCCCGTCCTGGTGGCTTCAAAATATCATCTACATTTTTAGATTCTGGCTTCCTTTCCACTCGTGGAGCAGGTGGTGGCTGACGTGGCATTGATGGAGCAGAAATAGGAATCCTTTCCTCAGGGTAATTTCTACGATCACCTTCAAATTCCATTGTTTGGACAGAAGAATTTTCTTAGTTCAGTAAAATAAAAAAATTAAGATGTTCATACCCAGCTGAGCTGATTTAAACAGACCTTCATTATTTTAGGATAAATTCACAGATTTGTCCCCAAAATAATTCAAATTTCTAATCTTGAACCTATTGCAATCAAAGACATTTTTAGCAGAGTATATAACTGTTGTGCTCCTGATCTCATCACCACTGAGAAATAAATTTTCCTGAATTATATATTCTGAACAAAGAAATACTGCAAATCAATTCATCTTCTCCCAATTAATCTTCATCTCTGTGAGTGCATATTTTTCATGATATTCTATCATGGCTTCAAGATTGAGAAACTGTACCTCCAAACATGGAAGGGCCATGATCGTACGCTGGACGATCTGTCTTTCGTTCATATGGTGGTCTTTCAAAACCACCCCGCCTGGAGGAAGGATGGTCTTTCTTGTCACGGTAAGACTGAGTCCTTGAAGGTGTAGTAGGAAGAACCCTGCCAAAAGAGTATTTTGCATATCTCTAGAATTTCTACTCTGGATTCCAGAGAGAAATGAACATGGACCTCACAGGCAAAATGGACAGCCTGACTCAATGGAGCCTGAACTGTATTGATTTTAACAGTGTTCTGAAACCACGTACCTATCATCTCGGGGATGCCGCTCTTTTTCAAATCTCTCTCGCTCATAGTCCACAGAACCACGGTCTCTGTGCAACTCTCGTTCTCTCTTGAAATCCCGATGATCTGTGTTGGAATTACCTTGACGCTCAAAATAAGGTTCACGATCTCTTTCTCTGTTGTAACGACCAGGGTGCTCTGAAATGAGAAACCCATGGAAATCCAAACTACTGAAAAATACTCTGAATTTTTTATTATTTTTGAAGGAAAAGCAACAAACAAGAATGGAATAAAAGTACATAGGAACATATGATGTGAGGGGTAGAATGGACTTAATCAGTCACTGGCTCTACTTTTCCAAACTGTGACAGACAACCATACCAAAGCTACAACACTGAATTTTTAAAGTGGCTATGTCATTGACTGCATTACTCCTCTTGACAATATAAACTGTTATTGTTATGGGCCTCTGAAGAAGAGAAAGCGGTTCTAGCTTAAACAAGAGTTACTTAGTTTAAAATAGGCTTTTAGTGCCTTACAACTTTTCTTAAGAGCTAACTAACTGTCTGAGAATTAGCCAAGTGTTCCCTACCTTTTTGAAATGTTTGCCTCTCCGGTAGAGGTTCCGGACGCAGTGTTACCCTCTCCCCATATGGAATCTGTTCCACTTTACTGGTGGTTATATCTGGTTAAAAATAATCAAAAAATAATCAAGGTCTTAAAATACCCCTCTTCCTTTCCTCTGTCATGAAAAGCGATCAGTCAATGGCATTAAAAGTGACTGGAATAACTTAACCAAAATTTCTTTTAATGGATAATGCAAAAGGAACTATACATAAATCCACAACACCATGGTTTTGAAAGTCTGAAGCAGGTTTGTGTATGTACGTGTATCACTTTACCTTAAGAATGGGACTTCTGCCTTTTCAGATGAGTTCAGGTAGCATACAGAGTCAGATTATAAACATTAAAATTTTCTGAAAGTTTCAGTAACTCATACAACTACTGTAATGTCAAGAATATTAAATGAAATGCTCCCTTTAGATTCCTAACAGTGACAATTTTTCTAACAGCTTTTACTAAAACATCTACTTAATGGAATCAATATGGCTTCAATTCACATTATGGTATCTTAGAGAGAGAGAGAGGGAAAAAAAAAAAAGCTCTTTAAATGACAATGCACAATTTAAGAACTTCTTTACAACATGGTTTCACTCCTGTTAAAAACTAAGAATGAGGGAAATTAATTCTATTAAAAAACCTAGTGAATTTTAGCTTTGATAAGTTCAATACTAAAAATCAGAGCCCTTCACTGTTTATGTTTTAAATGCCTGTTTAGGGCACACACCCTTCAGAACTAGAACTATGTCTCCCTCTCTGTCTAGAGGGTATCTCACACCCATTAAGCAGTACATAAATAATGCCAACACCAGTTCCATTCTGCTTTAAGTTATGAAGTCACACCTAAGAACGTTAACAATCCAAAGTACTTTCTAGCACAGTTGTTTCCATACTCAGCTACAAAGGGATTAAGGGAAAGTATCAATATCAATCTAAATATAACACACTGATGCAATCACATGAGTTGGTATTTATTAGAAGCAGGGATGTCTATGCACCATTCAGTTCACATGAAATAGCTCATTATCACAGCACTGAAGAAAACATTAAACTCCAGGCTGGAGCTTACAGCCTCCTTAAAATTGCATTGCTTAGCATTAGATCACAGTGTACGCAGCCTACAGGTCAACTGCAGAATATCTATGGCACGCTTTGCATGGCACACTCCTTTAGAAAGAAGCTAGGAAGACTAATTAGCTCTCCGTTACAGATCAAACACACTGTAATACCCACCTCGCCCGTGGCCATAATCCACAGTTTGCTGAATTACAGGTGCTTTAGGAACTGGTGGAATAACCGGAGGAAGGGACCCTGATACAGCTGATGAAACAGAGGTGTGAACAGCAGGTACTTTCACAGGTGAGGAGACGGGTGGAGGCATCATTGACTCCTGCTTACACAACTCGTACTCCGTATTTGCTCCTTTATCCTCATTTGTGTCCCAGAGTCCGTGGAAAGAATCCTCATCCCAGCGTTCCTGTTCCACAGCAGAAGGTGATGGTTTTAAAGACTGACCATGACTTGGGGTTGTAGTTGGAGTAGAAACTGGAGCATGTGGCCTTGTCATAGGTGTAGCAGGCCTTGACAGTGGGGCACTTGGTCTTGCCACAGGGGTGGGCTGTCTGAACAACACGGGAGGCTTTATAATAACAGCAGGAGAAGGTTTAATAGCTTGGGCTTCTACTGGTGCCTCTGGAGATAGCTGAGAAGAGACCTAGATGCAGAAAGCACTTTTAATATAGATCTGTAAACTAACCTTCTCTCATCCTCCGTAAGCACAATGGCAATTGGTAATCAAATCATAAGCATTTTCTAATTCCTCCATCGAGGTGCTACAGGTAGGAGGACAATACTTCAAGAATTGGTGGCCTGAATTAATTTGGTATTTGTTCACTATGTGAAGGCTTAAATAATATTTATTTTCTCCTTCAAAATAACCTTACCAATTTAAGCTCCAGTAGGCCTATCTCAGTTCAAAAGTGTCTATGGTTTTATTCTCAAAGACTCCTG